TAGATAGATAGATAGATAGATAGATAGATAGATAGATAGATAGATAGATAGATAGATAGATAGATAGATAGATAGATAGATAACTTACTATGATCTGGGTTGGGTGCAGATAGGATCATGCTGTGCAGCTTTTTCACCTCCTCCACTTGGTAGGATATTTTATCAATAAGTCCCCTGACTTCCTCCACCTTAATTGATCAATTATTACATTAATTACTCATTGGTGTGTGGAGTTATCCTCGTGCACATCCAGGTGTGCTTTAGTTTTTAGTCAAACGTACCCTCCTGAAATAGTTCTCCATAAAACCGTCCCTGCAGTCCTCTGTAAAATTAACATCTTCCTCTGCTTGGTTGTTATTCTGTGTGAATTTAGAAGAAACAAATGCAGTTTTATGCAGCTTATCCATCAGTGCCTGTGAGCCCTGGTTTAGAGAACTTACAGCAGTCAGCTCAGCCAGACGATCCTTCATTACACTTTCCTTTCCCAGTTCTTCTCCAGCTCAGAACTTCAACAAAACATCCCTGGATCCTTATCAAAAACCTCCATGCTGGGTCTCCCTACGGCAGACCAACCATTGCGCGGACTGAGGCTCCGATAGCGAATGGAAAAGTTAGTATAGGATCCGCTGCGTCAACCAGACTACAAGACAACAATGGCGAAAATCTAAAAGTTTGAATTCAAAGAAGTTAAAAGCGGCAGCTTCGCAAAGCAGCTTAACAAAAACTATTTGTATTTCTTACCTGGAATCGATGGTGTGTATCTGTTTCAGGGCGGCGATTGTAATCCACCACAGATCCGCAACACCGCCCCGACGAGGCTACGCCTCCTCTCCAGGTTTGGTTTTACGCACATGGAAACGCGCACTCACCACCAATAAACACTTAACAAACAGGTATCCAAGTACATGCTAGAATTGTGTTTTTAATTTCCCATTGATAGACTAAAAGCTAAAAGTGATTTAATCTGGATCTGAGGTATCAAGACTTAAAAAAAAGATAGTTTGAAACAACCATTTTAAAAAGAATAAACACAATTCAGTTCAGATGAAATTCAATTAAAAGTGGCCATTTTAATCAAAAAATAAATCTATAATATGTACTATTCCTGAATCATGAATGTGCTTGAAAAAAAAAATCCAAAGAATGTATTTAAAGAATTTGTCCAGAATAAAAATAAACTACAGTTGTAAAACCTTGAATTTTACTTCCAAATGTATTAACCTGTATTAAACTGTATTTCAAGAACTATAAAGTTATCATTGTCTCCCTTTTATCTCCTCTTTCTTTCATCTTTTTTCCTATTTCATGTTTTTCCTTTCCTTTTCTACTTTCCCATTGCAGTGTCCATATAATCTGTAATACTTAATTCAATTCAGTTTATTTCTATAGCGCCAATTCTCAACACATGTCATCTCAAGGCACTTTACAGTTCACCAGATCATCCAGTCAAATTGATTCAAAGTTTTCTATCTAAGGAAAACCAGTTGATTGCGTCAACTCATTGACTCAAATGCAATCCCTCACACTAAGCATGCTTGTAGCGACAGTGGAGAGGAAAAACTCCCTTTTAACAGGAAG